CCAGCAACACTTGCAATCCCATTTACATTGCGGGAACGATCCTAGAGTTGCAAATCACACTGGAATTCCATCGGCAACTCATCCACCAGCACCACTTGCAATCCCATTTACATTGCGGGAACGATCCTACAGTTGCAAATCACAATGGAATTCTGTCGACCGCACATGCACGAAAAACACTTGAAACCCCATTTACAATGCGGAACCGATCCGACCATGGTCCGAGAATGATCCGACCATGGTCCAAGAATGATCCGACCACACACGAGACCGTCTCGCACCCGTCGCACCGCAGAGGTAGATCATCGACGTTCGGGGACGCACTTTGTCTGGAAAAACACAGGGTTTCGTGCATCTTCTATCTCTCAAAAACACATTTCGTGCGAGACTTCCTTCAAAACTCCATCGGCAACTCCTCCACCAGCACCACATGCAATCCCATTTACAGTGAGGGAACGATCCTAGAGTTGCAAATCACAATGGAATTCCATCGGCAACTCATCCACCAGCACCACTTGCAATCCCATTTACATTGCGGGAACGATCCTATACAGTTGCAAATCACAATGGAATTCTGTCGACCGCAAGTGCACGAAACACAGGTGACACCCCATTTACAATACGGAACCGATCCGAGCATGATCCGAACATGATCCGACCATGATCCGAGAATGATCCGACCACACACGAGACCGTCTCGCACCCGTCGCACCGCAGAGGTAGATCATCGACGTTCGGGGACGCACTTTGTCTGGAAAAACACATGGTTTCGTGCATCTGCTATCTCTCAAAAACGCATTTCGTGCGAGACTTCCTTCAAAACTCCATCGGCAACTCCTCCACCAGCACCACTTGCAATCCCATTTGCAGTGAGGGAACGATCCTAGAATTGCAAATCACAATGGAATTCCATCGGCAACTCATCCACCAGCACCACTTGCAATCCCATTTACATTGCGGGAACGATCCTACAGTTGCAAATCACAATGGAATTCTGTCGACCGCAAATTCACGAAACACAGGTGAAACCCCATTTACAATACGGAACCGATCCGACCATGATCCGAGACCGATCCGAGCATGATCCGACCACACACGAGACCGTCTCGCACCCGTCGCACCGCAGAGGTAGATCATCGACGTTCGGGGACGGACTTTGTATGGAAAAACATAGGCTTTCGTGCATTTGCTATCTCTCAAAAACGCATTTCGTGCGAGACTTCCTTCAAAACTCCATCGGCAACTCCTCCACCAGCACCACTTGCAATCCCATTTACAGTGAGGGAACAATTTCTTTGCTAACTCTTTCTGTGGCTAACTCTTTCCCTCACTAACTCTTTCTTTAACTAACTCTTTCCCTGGCTAACTGTTTCTTTGCTAACTCTTTCTTTGACTACCTCATATATCCTGACTAACTCTTTTTTTGACTAACTCTTTCCCTCACTAACTCTTTCTTTGACTGACTCTTTCCCTCACTAACTCTTTCTTTGACTAACTCTTTCCCTCACTAACTCTTTCTTTGACTAACTCTTTCCCTGGCTAACTGTTTCTTTGACTAACTCTTTCTTTGACTAGCTCTTTCCCTGACGAACTCTTTCTTTGCTAACTCTTCCTGTGACTAACTCTTTCTTTGACTAACTCTTTCTTTGACTAACTCTTTCCCTGACTAACTGTTTCTTTGCTAACTCTTTCTTTGACTAACTCTTTCCCTCACTAACTCTTTCTTTGACTAACGGTTTCTTTGCTAACTCTTTCTTTGACTAACTCTTTCCCTCACTAGCTCTTTCTTTGACTAACTCTTTCCCTGACTAACTCTTTCTTTGACTAACTCTTTCCCTGACTAACTGTTTCTTTGCTAACTCTTTCTTTGACTAACTCTTTCCCTCACTAACTCTTTCTTTGACTAACTCTTTCCCTGACTAACTGTTTCTTTGACTAACTCTTTCTTTAACTAACTCTTTCCCTGACGAACTCTTTCTTTGCTAACTCTTTCTGTGACTAACTCTTTCCCTCACTAACTCTTTCTTTGACTAACTCTTTCCCTGACTAACTGTTTCTTTGCTAACTCTTTCTTTGAACTACTAACTCTTTTCCTCACTATCTCTTTCTTTGACTAACTCTTTCCCTGACTAACTCTTTCTTTGACTAACTCTTTCCCTGACGAACTCTTTCTTTGCTAACTCTTTCTTTGACTAACTCTTTCCCTGACATTCTAAAAGTCCGTAACACGGAAGTTTCTCCCCCTAAACTTCCTTTGACTAAAACCTCCATTTGCCGGTGGGGCCTGAAACCACTTTAAAAACGGTTGCGCAATTGGCACATCTGGAAGCTGGCCAGTATAAAAACGGTTCATTTTTCACCGGGGCCCACCACAAAAAAAAACGGACTCAAAAAAAATCATATTTGTTTCAGAGCCATCGTTGTTTTGAGTAGATTAGGTATGTTTGCGTGGTTGCCGGAATGATGGGTTATGAGGCAAATGGTTCGGGTGTTTTGCACTTGGAAACTTTCCCAACATATCTGGACTGGCACTTAGAACCTCCGGAGGCTCCAAAAGTATTTTTGTTTCCATAGCCGAGCGTTTTTGGAAGATGTCCGCAAGTTCTAATTGTGTGTCCCGCGCTTAAATCTTCGCAGATATCCGCCACGCGGCGCATATGCAGACATGAATCGGACCATGCCCTGCGTCACCGAATGTCAACAGATGTAAAATAATCGGCTTCCAAGACGTCTGAACATTGTGACATTTTGTAACGTATTTTTTTAACATATATTACGACATCGGCCCCAGCAGCAACAGTATGTTCAACAGTGATGTATTATCAACGTTCCTCCTCGAGAATTAAATGGTCTACAACATAAAGTGTTTCCGAAAATGGGATATCACCGTAACACTCCAGTGGATTGAATAATTTTTGCCGCACAATGCTTCCAAATGATGATTGAAGTTTGCAGTCTTTGGAAGGACGTTGAGGGAACGTGAGTCAAAACACCCTCAATTTTCATGCGCTATGTCATTGCCCGGAGGAAGCAGGTGCTCACTTTTTGCCCTTGCTTGTACCTCTACGCCAACCGAAAACAAAAAATGCGAGCACGAATTGGCACTGGTAAATCTTGGGTTGCCCACACAGGTGTGTCACCTTCATGAAGCCGAGCATTGCGCACCATTGCCACGGCTGTATCCCTATCCATTCGTGTAGCAATTTTTTCACAAAACAAACTTTGGAATTGTTCAGATGTTCTAAATGTGCCAACACGTCGTGGCCCCTTGAGGGATGGGAACTTGTCTACAAACCATTTCTTTGATGACTCGGCATTTTCGAGGAAACGAACCCACGCACAACCATGGTTTTGGAAATGAACTGCTGCACTGCCGTCTTCGTTTCCATCTGGTTCAACTGGTTTGCATCTCAACAACGTCGTTTTCCATCATTGCATTGCCACCTGATGTGTTTTGGAGGGATTGGGTATTCGTTTTTTCCATGTTTATTGTCAAAAATCTGCCACGAACGTTCTTTGCATCAACCTTCCCTTCCACCTCGCACAACCTTCCCTCCAGCGTTGCTTGCATCCAATTTTCTCCATTGGCGCAATAGACTCTTGAATCGCAGCCCTGATTACTTCAGCCAAAGCATGCATTGAAACATTTGGTAATTTTTGTATCCGTTTTTTCTGGTTGTAGTTCATATTCTGTGCTACCCATTTCATGCAAGCGCGAAAGTACACGACGCTTTTTGATATGGTCAGTCTGGTGTCACCGAAACCATGAACCAGTTTTCCCTTTGAGCCATGTGACATGCCCACAATATACATACATATTTATCCGCGAAACATGTGGTGATAAGGGGCAGCATCCATGAAATAGTCAGTGCCAAATTGGATGCATATGGACTGTGTATAACGGACATGGGCGTTTGAAAACTTGGGACTTGTTTGGGTACCAAAAGTTCATGACATGAGTCAAACGGCATCAGCACAATCGGCAAAATTATATTTAAAAAAAATGTTGTGGCTTCTGATTGATTTCAAATAACTACTCCTCAGTACCATTTTTTGAATACGTAGTTAAAAACACAGCGGCAACTAATTTTCCGGCGACGATCTTTATTTCCAAACGCATATCATTTGCAATAGTATTGTTGCTTGTTGTCAGATACTTGCTCTCACATATTGTTTGTACAAATTGTTGGCGACTGTCCTAGGACAGGGTCAATCAGAACCAGTTTTCGGTTGAGAAACAGTTGAGACGATGTTGCTAAAAGACGCGCCGTAATGTTGCAAAACGTGTTCTTCGATACATTTGGAATTTCGCGTTGTTTATGATTTTTCTCCTTGTAGTTCAAGAGGTATTCTCGAAACGTGGCGCGCACAATATCGCAGGGTAGTCAGACTCATGGTTCGTGTTTGGAACAATGGAATTCCCCCATTGTGACCGTGAGATCCGGATGCAATTGGTTTGTCCTTAGGCCGTTGCCCATTGTTGGGCTGCTACCAACGGCAAGGCAGTGGAGACATTGGGATAGTTCGTTTGGGGGGAAGAACTGGTGACGCTCAAATGTTGGCAGGGTTCACTTCATTGAATGCAATGATCAAACACGGAAATAACCCGTCCGACTAGGGGTGGCCGTGTGGCCAGTGTTTTTGGAGATTTTGGTATGACATGGGACAATTTTTGAAAACCAGACCCCCGACCTGAACATTTGCTTGCACAAAAGTTGCTGTGAAATGAACGCCAACTTACATGACATATTCATCCGAAACCTATCCGTTCAAAATTAAAAATATTTGTCAGGTTGAAAATTTCAGGCGCAACTACTCTTTGCAACTATTTCCTCTGGTTATTTGGATTCAAGAGTTGGCATGCAGATGCAGAAGGTCCAAACACCCCTGGTAGGTCGTACAAACAAATAGTGCAAAGTGCAAGACTCAGCCAATCATACTCCAGTTCTCCCAGTTTTGGGGCGTGCTTCCGACTGGGTTTCAACCTGACGCATTGTGACATGGAAGACGTGATCCCAGCCTTGCCATGGGGCACGGGGGCTCTGCGACAGCGTGTGCTTAGCAGATGGTTTACGTTGGAGCAGGCTGAATACTGCATTTTTGCGGACATTTTCAAGTTTAAGACGCTTCTTCGAAAATTTGCATCAGTTTGGGACCTCAGTTTTTTTATTAAAAAATGTGGGGTTGTAATCCCTCCTTCGGCAAAGATGGCATCAATGTCAGGCTGTGTGCCATGCGGAGCTGGAGGACAGGCTAGGTGACGAGAAATGGTTGGCAGGATGAATTTGAAATTTGAAGATGTCGAGTTCCCACAGGTTGAGTTACTTGGAGCTGCGCAGCTTCATTGACAATGAGCTTGCGGGTTCTGAGGTGCCAGCTGAAGTTGGGATGTTTGTGGAAGATTCGTAGATTGCCGGGTGTGCCAAAAGGGGCTGAAAGAAAGGATGCCCTTGAACAGATGATGGGAGGTTGTAGGTTCAGGTGCCCTCTGACCATCTGCAGGGTTGGGTTGTGTTGTTGGTGAATTGCGGAGAGTGGGAGTGTGCAGGTTCAAGCCTCACCTGAAGATGTTGGTGTTGGTTTGCTGCGACTTGGTGGAAATAACATTGCAACTGGTACTCCTACACCTTGGAAGGATGTGCGCAGCACAATGGATTTCACGAATGCGGATTGTTTCAAGACCGTGAGAACATGTTTTTTCCCGAGATGTTCCGAACCAAACACAGGAACAAAGACCATGCCTGAGACTTTTTTGGACGGCACACCAAGGGGGGACTGAACCACCATGACACCTCCAAGGTCTGTACCTGAAGAGAATGAGCTGCCAGTAACATCCCCCAGCAGGATGGAGGCCTGCAACAGGCTGTTAGTTTGAATCCTTTGCTTCCATCCTGTAAACCTGTTGCAAGGCTGGAATTTTGAAGCTCTTCATGACACTGTTCAAGGCTCGGTCTTGTGCCACCAGTCCTATGATGTTTGGATGTCCCATTTGAGTTGTTGAATGCTTCTGGAGACGATACAAAGCACTGCTAATGGAAATCTGACTTGATGGTTGAAGATAGAGGTTGAGCATGGGGAAGAACCCATGAGCAGCGATGCAACGATCTCCAAGTGCCTGCTGCTTTTCGAGCTGTCGTGCCTGGCATGAAGAGCCCCGGGTGGCCTCTCATGCCAACCGTGGGTGGATAATAGCAACGGTATGCAACGGCTCAAACTTTTCGAGATACAGCTAGCTTGACTGGGCTTGACCCATCAACAGTTGGATGGTTGACTGATTTTCCATGACCAAGAATTATACCATGTTGTACTGTTGTACCATTTTGGGCAGCTTGACCTTGAACCATGCACCGCCACAACGAAGCCCGTGGTGTTGCGACTCCAAGGCGCTCAGCCCCGCGCGAAGGGTTTCGCTCCTGGTCCTCCAAGGCCTTGCTGACGGATGAACTCAGCGGCGTGGTGCAGAAGGGAGTTTTTGGGATGATGGGATTGTCCGGTTGAATCTGAATTCTATGGATGATTGATGATGATTGTGGGGGTCAAGAATTCGGGACCTCCATCTCGTCATTGTTTTTTTTGCTTGATCCAAGGGGGAAATGCAATGGTTTGGGGGAGGCTCTGGGTTTGGGCTTCCAGCTCTTCTCACATGTTTTTCATGGTAGATGCAGCAAATGCATGCAACTATCTGGAATCAAGCGAACTGAACACTTGAGGTGCGATCATGGATTCGCATCTGAGCAAAGACGGCTTCTGCGAACTGGTCGTGCGTAGCAATGGGCATGTGGAAGATGCAAAGGAGCCTTGGGAATGCCTGGAACTATCATCAAGTCTCGAATCATCAGAAACAGCCGTGAACAGATGGGAGGAAACAATTGTTCAGACCTCCACCGCATGGCTTGCAGTGAAATTCTTTCATTCAGGAGTGGTTTGATGCTCTTTGCCCTCCGAGCTCACCGACAGCTGTTTTGACGCGCCTCGACCAAACTTGCTCCGGGCAGAAAGGTGTGTGAGATGTAGCAACGCAGAGGGGTTGTCATCGGGATTCAACTTTTGCTTCTCATATTTTCCTGAAGGCTATATTGCTATATAGAACAAAATCAAAAACCAAAGAACTGGCTCCGAAGCAGGATCATCATCAACCATCGGAAATTGTTGAGTCGTGGTAAGATAGAATGCCATAGAATACATGGGGAGTATACATTTTCAGCTGCAGTTTTGTTTTTGAGGGCCTCCGGCCTGGGCCGTACGCCAGGCCTGCTGCCCTGACGCAACAAGCCATCAGCTGGCCACGGTTACCTGTTGCATTGGATGCCATGGATGGATGGCAGCCCGCAGTGCCTTGGTCTGATTTTCCAAACATCCTCGACATAGCTACTCCAAGTCAGACTTATTGACTAAGTTCTTCTCCCGCTTCGCAAGGAGTTGGTGGTGCGGCTGGCCGCTTTGTGGGGCGACCTCACGGCTGCCTTTGGGTTACCTGCCCGGGACGCCGCCGGTGAGGAAGATGCCACGTGGCCTGTGGCGCTCAGGGCGTCAAAGGAGAGCGTGAAGTCCATGGCGCGCTGCCTTGACGGGTCAGAAACTGCAGTCTGGGTCAGTCTGAGTCTGTGGAGTCATATCACAGGGAGCAAAAAGCTACCACAATCATCCACAATCCCTGTTCCAAACAGTTTGACACCATCACCTTTGTGATCTATTTTATCATTGTTTTATCATGTTTTATCATGTTTATTTATTTGTCCGAAATCATTGGTTTGGTGTCAGGACCTTTCACAACCCATCCACAGCCAACCATCACTCGCCTTCAGGTCCAGCTCCCCGCCACGGCCGCGGAAGCTGAGACGCCTGACCATGAGGCCTGGGATGTTGGGGATGTGGGAAGGAAACCCCCAAAAAGGTGGCAAAAGTGAGACTTTTGGATACTTTTTGTATCTTTTTCTACATTTTAGGTGGTTCCAGCTTGTGGAGAATCAGCAGTGGTGCTCAGTGGGGGGTGCTTCAAGATTCTGTGGGGTTGTTTTTTTTGGGGTGACTGTGACAATCTATCTCCGTGTATATACATACACACAAATGACACACACACACACACATTAATAATTTACATATGCGAAATTGTCTTTTGTCCTCTTATCCGCGTCTCTAGCCCAAGGCAGTGGCTGCGGGCACTTCGAGGGAAACCTGGGAGGCTACTGCTTGGCCACTGGGATGCGTTTGGATATGTCGCATATGTAGTAGCTATGTATCTTTATGTTATCAGCCACTTGTTTGGTCACTGAGCCATGGCCTGAGTGAAAGGCGAAATGGAAGCTCGAACTGAGTCTGAGCGACTTGCCGCCCTGCCACAGACAGTGGATAGGCTGGCAGGGTTCAGGAGAATGCGTTTGATGCTCTGGGAATCAGCATTGTTTGCAACCTTTTATGCTTTTGCAAGGTCTACTGAGTCTACTTGTCATGTGATTTGTGATGCCCGTTGCATATGTCACAGGCTTTTTCCGAATCTTTGTGATCGGCTGCTTGTAACGAAGAACTTGTGGCTTCCTGGTGAGTTGATTTGTGTCCGATACTGCCTCAGCAGGGGGCCTCAGGGGTACTCGAAATTGTTAGGCATCCTGTGATGAATTGTGTTTGACTATGTTTGACTTCATCAGATCTGTCCACAGCGAAAAATTGGAGGATGCCATTTTGAAAAAAAGATAAGGCGACTTCGGCTACTGGGGCAGCGGCGGGCCAGAACCACTGGTGTCTTGGCTGCAGCGTGCAAGTGAGGTGGAAACGAGTACTGTAATAACATATGGTAAACCCAATATTTATACCACCCATTTCTGGTGATATTGAAGATGGTTTATTATTTGGTTTACTACATTTATGCCGAATTATGCCCAATCTTCTCAATGATTTCCCATTTTGAAGAGTCCACTTTGGGGTGTTGGAGCAACTAAGGTGGCTGGAAGGAAGCTGATCCTGGGGCGGCAGCCTTTCATTACCTTCCTGCCACAGCCCGAAGTGGCTGGCTTGGAGGACCCATTGGTTTTACATGGGTTTTACTATGTTTTACTATGTTTACCTCTTTCACAAACCAATCAGCTGTGGATCCCATGAAAAGTGTGGGCAGTGGAACCTTGGAGTAGTATCAGCTTCCACATGAGCTTGTGTGAAACTAGGGCGCCGCAATATCCAATGGGTTTATTTGCGTCTATTTAGCGAGCTTTATCACCGTTTACTATATCATAATCAAACAACAACATAGAATATCATAGAATCGCACGGAATTGCAACAAACAAACAAATGCTATAAAATCAGATCATAAGAGCATGATCATCATGATCTCATGATATAATTTCATACAAAGCGCTCGCCAAGTCCTCCCGTGCCACTCCACAGGACGCCATGCCCCCTTCATGCGCCGTGCTGTCTCAGTTGCCCAGCGGAATCGTCTGGCTGCGAGCGCCTGTAGCGCCACCAAAGAGTGGCGACATAGTGACCGTGGCGGCGGAGCAAGTGTTAACCAGGGGGGATGGTGATGATATGGTGATGATATGGTGATGATGATTGATTATGTACGCATCATATCGTAGGAGAAGATCATGTACATTAAACATGGGAGGGCTAATTATTTTAGGATTTTTTTTTCATCAGGTTTAGGAATTATTTTTGGATTCCTGCTTCTCTGCTTTTCCTGCTTTTCCTGCTTCTCTGCTTTCCTGCTTTTCCTGCTTTTCCTGCTTTTCCTGCTGCTTTTCTGCTTTTTTTTCTGCTTTTCTTTTCTGCTTCTCCTGCTTCTCGCCTTTTCTGCTTTTTTGCTTTTCTGCTTCTCCTGCTTCTCTGCTTCTCTGCTTTTCTGCTTTTTTGCTTTTCTGTTTTTCCTGTTTCTTTGCTTCTCTGCTTTTCCTGCTTTTCCTGCTTCTCTGCTTTTCTGCTTTTCCTGCTTCTTTGCCTTTCTGCTGTTTTGCTTTTGTGCGTTTCCTGTTTCTTTGCTTCTCTGCTTTTTTGCTTCTGTTTTTTTTTTGGCTTTGCCTGCTTTAAATACTTGATTTTCATGTAAGATGCATTTTGCACAGTATTTACATCCCTGAGTATCACATGACCAACCTTCTCTTGAAAACTAGCAACGTAACATGTGAGAAGAGGTGCTTGCATTCTGCTTTGGGGGGAGGCGCTGCGCCCTCCCCCCAATCCCCCCCTCCCGCTTTTTTTTTATTTAAACTTAAACCCAAGTTACATTAGTTGGTTTTTGCGAACTAACCTTCTCTGGAAAGCTGACAGGATTACATGTGATAGATAGATAGATAGATAGATAGCTGGATAGATAGATAGCTTGGTAGATAGATAGCTAGATAGATAGATAGCCAGCCAGATAGATAGAGAGCTAGAGAGATAGATAGCTAGATACCTCGATAGATAGATGGCTAGATAGATAGCTAGATAGATAGATGGCTAGATAGATAGCTAGATAGATAGATAGCTAGCTAGATAGATAGATAGCTAGATAGATAGCTAGATAGATAGATAGATAGCTAGATGGATAGGTAGATAATTAGCTAGATAGATAGATAGCTAGATAGATAGCTCGATAGCTAGATAGCTGGATAGACAGCTGGATGGCTAGATAGATAGATAGCTAGATAGATAGAAAGCTAGATAGCTAGATAGATAGTTAGCTAGATAGCTCGATAGCTAGATAGCTGGATAGACAGATAGATAGCTAGAAGCTAGATAGCTAGATAGATAGTTAGCTAGATAGCTCGATAGCTAGATAGCTGGATAGACAGCTGGAGGCTAGATAGATAGATAGCTAGATAGATAGAAAGCTAGATAGCTAGATAGATAGATTAGCTAGATAGCTAGATAGGTAGATAGATAGCTAGCAAGATAGCTAGCTAGATAGGTAGATAGATAGCTAGATAGATAGATAGCTTGCTAGATAGATAGCTAGCTTGCTAGATAGATAGCTAGCTAGATAGCTAGATAGCTAGCTAGCTGGATAGATAGCTAGCGCCCTCCCTCAATCCCCCCCACCCGCTTTTTATCTAATCCCAAGCTTCCGCATCTGTAAATATTTGGGTGAACATGCTCACATGTAGAACATCCCATGCAAAATGGAAGGTGAACATGCCAAAATGTGGCAAATACCATACAAAATGGAAGGTGAACATGCCCACATGTAGGAAATCCCATGCAAAATGGAAGGTGAACATGCCAAAATGTGGCAAATACCATACAAAATGGAAGGTGAACATGCCCACATGTAGTAAATCCCATGCAAAATGTAGGCAAATGGTACCAGCCAAGAAATCCAAAAAAAATTCCCAAACCTGCTCAAAAAAAAATTCCTAAAACTATTTCACACCCTTAAACATGACATAGTACATGCACCCCTGATAATTGGGGCGACGCGGAGAGAGAAGGATGAACATGATGCTGAACTATTTTGAGAGAACATACATGTCATTATGACATGACATGTTTACTCCTGGAAGTGACACTAAGCGATGTTTCCTCAAGACCCCAAAGCGGTCGCAGCGCCAATCCGAGGCGAGTTGGCACCTGCAGCTCTTTGCTTCAGATGATGGGCTTCAACCAGTGGCCCCCATGAGTCAACCACTGCTGATTCAGGCCGAGGGTAGAGTTGGTAACATTTTTATGTAGAATGGTAAGGCTGGTGAGGTGACAGCTTTCCGAATTGGGACATGGTGGGTGTCTTGGCAAAGGTTTACAATCAGATTCGATTCATCATATAGCAAAGGTAAGGTCGCAGCCAGTCTTTTCATGTGGTTGCAACAGTTGCAACGATGTTTGGACTTTTCCGATGGCCTTATGTCGCCAAGAATCACTTGGGGTAGGTGATGTGCGTGCCACCTGCTCCACCTTCAGAGATCGTCTTGTGTGACCGGTCACCGGACTCACTGACCCTGTCCTGGATGGTTTCTTGGATTTCTTGGATTCAAGACAATCTCACAATTGAAGAACTTTTTGCCATACATATATCTCTATAATAACTTACATAAATACTGGAACTTGAATATGGTCTCCCACAATGATTCTCTTTAAAACATTTGAAAGCCACAATTCACCGAGTAACCCAATGAGACAAGTTGAACCTGAGCCAAGGAGACCCTTCAGGATGGCGGGCTGGAGGTTATCCACTACGAGCTCTGCTTGGAGCCACCAGACGGGGACGCAGTGCTGCGTGTCTGCAGGGTCAGGGCTACAGAGCATCAGGGGCAGAGGCGAGCTTTTCTAGTGTCATTACTTGGTTTGCTGGGTTTGCTTAATTGCAAAAAAAGGGTTTGTTGCACCTTTGAAGGTGTAGCTCAGTCAATGCGCTCTCAGAGCAAACTTGACTTTTTTTGACATTTTTTTGATGCAGTTTTTTCAGCTGTTCCCCAGAGGTTTCCGGTCGAGTGTGTACTTTGATTTCAGCCTAGGATTCATGAGGCCACTGTGTCTTGGTTCGAAGGATTCCGTTGGATTCCGTCGGCATTGCTGAGTGGTTTCGTTTCATTCCAGGGGCAGTCATGTGATTCAGCCGCTTTGGAAGCTGAGCATGGCGCCCCCAATTCATGAAGAGGGTGACACTGTTTGTGAGGAACCGCTGATTACCATCACAGACCTCAAAGCAGCTGCTTGGAAGCAAAGTAGGAAGGCACCACTTGAAATTGAATAAGATGCCAGCCACTGCAGCTTGCGATACAGGCGGGGCAGTTCAAGTGCAAGTCTAGTTGTCCTCAGGAAACAGGCTATGTTACTCGGGTGCGAGCCGTCAACAGTTACTTGGCGTGCGGTCATCATCCGTCAAAATCTTCTCTTTGGACAGATCGCGTCAAAACTTGTTCAAAATCCCAAGTTGAGCTTGGTCCTTGTCACCAGCTTGGATTTTTTGATGACTTGTAATCATGAATAACTATAGCGTACACAATTACATGCACGCATGCATACAGACAGAGAGGCAGGCAGGCCGGCAGGCAGACAGACGGAGATGTATATGATGTATGTAAATAAATAAACAAATAAACAAATAAATAAACAAATAAATCAATAAATATAATATGTGTGTGTGTGTATGTGTGTATTTGTGGCACTCCCATCCCTCATGGGTCAGATGTCCTCCATCTGAGGTCTTGGTTCTGGACCCTGGAGCTCTGCTTATCGCTTCAGCACGGGAGAAACCAGTGCTCCTGCGACTATGCCGGCACCCTGGGTGGTGCAGGTGCCAGGGGCAGCCCTGGTAGCACATCATGAAATTTGAGTCTGTTGCTGGCTTGGCACCAAAATTTTGGGGATTTTCAATTTCATGGTGGCAAAATTCGGAAAATCTAGCCCAGTTTCAGTGATGTTCATGGTCGTGAACTTGAGTGAGTCAGGGTCCTGTCCAAGCTTCTCTTCCCTTAGCTGCATCTGCCTTGGAAGGTGGGCATCTCCCAGGCGCTGCTGCGCTGGGTCCCACCCAATGGCTTCCGGGTCGGCAAGTATCACCTGAAAGCCGTCTCTCAGCCACTGCGCTGCATAGGTGGAGCTCAGGTTTTGGTGGGTTGAGCCGCTTGAGCTTGGTGTGAGACTACACTTGTGAGAACATTTCTGCCGGGCTTCTGCAGCTGAGGAAAGTTGGGCAGGAGGATGCGCAGAGCTTGATGACCTTCAGCTGCGCAGTCAGAGAGTTTTTTCTTTGGGATGGACCAAAATAGATCTTGCAGGCAGCAGAGGGCTCGGGACCAAGGACTTGCGAAGGCGACCAAATGGACGCTTGCCACCATTCAGTCGCTGCTACTGGTGGCAGCTGGGTGTGGTGTACATCCTTTGGACCAGCGTTATCCAACAATTCAGAAGTTTTTTTTTTTAACGGGTGACCTGCCTGATCAATACCATTTGTTGACCCTTGATACCATGCAATTCAGAGGCTGCGAGCTGCCTACTTTTTGGCGACTGAGCACTTGTCACCTCTTCCGATTGTTCAAACTGGGAAGTTCGGCTTTACGAAGCAACAAACCTGTTGAGGTAAAACTCCCGGAGATTCAGATCTTCAGTCAAATGATTTGGAAGTTCGGTGCTCTAAGGATGTGCTTTTCACAGGTCTGTCGAGCTATACGCCGTATCAGTTCAGAACCTTAGCCGCAAGATTGCCCCAACAATTGATCCAAGTTTCTTGGTGAATTCACGGCACCTGGAACAATCATTTAGTTATATAATTGATGTTAATTGTGCTGCTGTTTTCTGATGGCAACGTGCATTTCGAGAACTTGACGCTGCAGGCATCGCTGCAAGCAACTCTCTTGGCCAAGGGCCTTGGAGCCCAAGTACGGTGCAGGCTTGGCCAGAAATCTTCCACAGTCAAGGGCCCACGCACCCGCACCTGCAGTGTGAGTCATCCCCTCACAGCGAAGATGTGACAGGTCTTCACAGAGCCAGACTTGCCGGGACAGCCACAGGAAGTTGCTTGTGTATCATGGCAGCAGCTGGAGCAAAGGGCTGTTGATGGCCTGGTTCTTCGAGGATTTGACATGGGCTGACACTGGTGATCACTATATACTGTAGTTTGTTGAAGATTGCACAAGCCTTCCCTTCACCAGATACTGGTATGCTTAGTGGAGAGCACGCCAAACACTGGGAATCCATTTGAGCAAGGACCTGTGGGGATACCACCTTTCGCCTGAGATGGCCGAGCATGCCTCGCTCTGCGTTACCTGGAAGCCGCCAGAAGATGAAGGTGGGGATGGCTGAGTTATGCTAAGTGAGGTGGGAATCTGTTTTTTCTTGGATCTCCTGGATCTGGAGTGGTTTGGAATCGGTGACATGCATCGACATTCTGCTGCCAATGACATTGAGAGCATGTGACTGTCAATGTGACATTAAGGAGGCGCCTCCGTTCTGGAATACCTGGTCAAGGTGGAGTCCTTGGACAAGACCGCCCAGGTGTCTTGGCTCAATTTGTCAAAGCTGGTTGAGAAGGTTGAGCACTGCGCTGGCTGCTGGCATGAGGTCTCAGAGATGTCCATTGCCAGTTCGCCTGCCTGGATCTCTGGGCTTTTTGGCAACAGCTGGTACCGCAACTTGTCAGCATTGGATGCATTGACATGCATTGACCACTTTATCAAGACTTTACTCTTCACTATTTGCCTCAGATCTTCTCAGATCTTGAGACTTTCTAACTGACTTAGCGGAGACCTCTTCAAATGACAGGTGTGTCGGTGGCCGCGCGGAATGCTGCTGGACTGGGGGATTTCGTGGAGATTCAGGTGCAGTGCTGCCATGCTTTTCAAGTCCCACCTGGCAGTGGAAAATGAGCATCACCTTTTTGAATGGGAAACTTCCCTCTCTCTCTCTTTTTACGAAAGCTAGCTTGTGCTAGCTGAAGTTGCTCTTGCTTTAGCAAGGAATAGGCAGGCACCAGGACCGTTGGAAACCCTGAAACTTTCCATTTAGACCCCCCCCCCCCCCCCCCCCTTCTTAGATGCCCCCTGTACCTGCGCCCTGACCCCTCGACGCTTCTTAGATGCCCCGTGTGCCTGCCGCTGGACCATGGGTTGTCATCTCAATATTTTATTTTTCAGCTCGTCAGCAATCATTAGCTGGTTTTGGGGCAGGTACAGGTTTCCACGTCTTTGTTTTCGCCTTCTTCATTTTCATTTTCCTCGTGAGCAATGTCATCATCATGGTTTGTTGTCGTCGTCATCGTCGTCGTCATCATCATATCATCATCAGTATTATCATCAAATTCATTCCTACCCACCATCACAGTCATCAGTTCATCAGTTTACTCTTGCAGCTGCGCAGTCTCCAGTACAACATTGGTAGAGTCCTGCTAGCTTTCGTACCTCCCCCCTCTGTGCCAGGCTCAAACTGCTGTGCTGCGGCCGCAAGCTCCGCGCGAGCCGGAGCTGTGTTCTGCAGATGCAGAGGCGGTGATATTGAGGTGGGTCATGAAACGCTTGGTGAATCAGACAGGCGGAAGTAATCCCGCAAAGCCATCCAACCTACAATTTGGATCAATTTGGGGATGGTTTAGCAGTTTCAAATAGTTTCAATCCCATACCAATTGTGATTTGGAGGTTGATGACATTGGGAAGCTGCCACAGAGGATGAGTCCACAGCATGCAGGTGGTCGCCTCCGGCGGATGATGGTGGAGCGCCGGTGCTGAACTACGTCGTGCAGGCGTGGACGATGTGAAAATGGTGGGATGAATATTTGATGATTAATTTTGAGATAAGATAGAGAAGTGACTGATGCTGTTAATTGATGTGTTTTTAATATAATATATAGTTGATGAATCGATTAATGTTCATGAGATATGTCAAGTGCATAGCTAAGATTAGCTAAGTACCCATGTTGAAGCTGCAGGTTTGATCTGTCACACTTCAAGAAAATCCTGACGTTGCAATCCTGCACGGCTTTGGCTCATGCCATGTCCCTTTCGGCGTCAGCAGCAACACTTCCACCTCTTTGCTTGGTAGGTGGCTGGTCCTCATGGCGAAGGCGATTTGGAGCTTTGCGTTGCTCCCCATGTCGCTTCTGAAGGTTGCAATGGGCCCGACATTTCTGCATCCTTTGATGTTGATCCTTGCAAGGCTTCACTTTTTTGCCTTAACACTTCTGCAGCCTGTATGAATGCAAGAAATCCCAGAGACCGTCATTAGACCAACAATGTGGCAAAATTTGGCACTTGTGTGGCAGGGTTTTGCGATGCATGGAATGGTCGAGAAGGCCAGGCCTGCACACATCTAGGTGAGAACCAGTCACATGATCATGACATGAACTGTAGGATGCATCTGTATGCATTTATAGTATACGCTGAAAAGAATCACTCGTTCAAGGTCGTTTAAGGATGTTCAAGGTAGGTAAATTCTGGAGACTTCCAGCATTGTTTCTTGGGAAATTGTCAGAAGTTTCCACATCCGAGCTTGGCTCAAGAGAAAGTGTGAGCAGTGGAGCAGACACCAACAACCACCAATATATAATCTTTAGATGCTGTATCTTTTGCGCATCTCACTGTGCCTAGAACGCCACTAACTTTTTGGAATGAGACTCTCGCTGGTCAGAACAGGAGTGGAACCAGTGCTAGGCAGCAATCTAATCAGCTTGGGCGTAACCAGCCAGCTCGGCAGCTTTTTCTGACACACCAAAGGGTGTGACTTGTTGGGATGATGATGTCGTCCATTGCGCTACCTTCATGGCCTACCAGGCCTACCAGCCTGCCTGCAGGACCAAGTGGAGGTGGCTTGACCCTAGCAAGAATAGCTGCTTGGCCGCACTTTTTGCTGCACAGCATGATTAGGTCATTTATATTCCCGGTATAGAATCATGTCGAAGATGGTTTGTTTTTTCGAGCTTCTGCAACCTCCAGACGCTTTGCCATGCCATAACTATCCCATCATGAGGAATCCGTTCCACTGAGATCCACCGAAATCCACCGAGGATTCTCAGCATGCCACCAGCTTTGCCAGCACTCCACTGAGCCGCAGCACTGGTAGCCTTTTGCTCCTGGCGCTGCGGCGGTCGGTGGCATTGGCGGCGAAGAAGTCCAAGCGCGGCTTCGCAGCGGAGAAACCGAAAAAAACTACGGAGGTGGAGGTTTTGGAGGCCCAGGCAGGGGCCCAAACAGGGGAGACTCCACTGGATGGTTGTTTCATCTTGTTTCTTGGGGTTGATATTGGGTTTGAAATGGTTTAGATGACACTGGTTCAAATGATATTGAGATGCTGCTGTTGGGATTGGGAAGATCCCAACCAAAGTGCTGAGGTAGAAGCCGAGGTGGTCGACCGTAGGGTGGTGACACCCGTGGATGAAATGGAACCGGAGGTGCTGTCGGAAGACATGAACGACCTCCGTTCAGCCGCTGAGGGCGGTGATGTCCAGGCGATGTTTAAATTTGGCAAAGCCCTGCTGCAAGGCAGGGTGTTAAATGGTTTCAAGCTGGTGAACTATCCACTTGCATCATGTTCCATCATGTTCCATCCATTCATGAAAAGTCTATTGCTTGCTATTCTCTTATATATCTTATATCTGTCTGGTTCCTTTAAGACCATCATTTTTGCCTCTTTTTTAGGGCCTTTGTTTTAGGGCGCTAAAGTTGAAGTCCTGAAGGCTGGGATGGCCAGGAGGCCAACAAGGCCCAGGGCGCCCAGTGGTTGCTCCGGGCAGCCGAACAGGGACATCGCCCTGCACAGAGTGCGGTGGGGGAGATGTTCTTCACGGGCTTGGGGCTGCCACAGGACAAAGAACAGGCCTACAAGTGGTTGCAGCAGGCGCAGCTGGTGGTGTGAAAAACCTCATGCAATCCTTCTGACAGTGTGACAGTCACACGGTCATGTCTAGTGAAAACATCTGAAAACTCTAGCCACGTCCGTGTCTTCAAGGCCGCGGAGCCACCGGTGCCAGAGGCCCAGTTCAACCTTGGAGTGATGCTTCAGACAGGCAGGGGATGGCAGGGGATACCTGGGTTTTGGAGATCTGGGTTCGGGTCGAAAGTCTAAAACCACCGAAGTTTCATGATTTGGAACTGACATGACCAAATTTACGGGTTGTTAGGTGCACCATTGTGACCCACAACTAACAAGCGCACAAACACAAAGGGTTCGACGCTGAAGTCTTTGCAAAGGTGATTGATGGCACTGCATGTCATCCAGTGGATATAGCATGACATAGGGGCTGGCTTCTGTTTCTCAAGGTCGGTCCGGTCTTTGCTGTGAGATGGGGTCCTAGGGTGTTGCAGGGCGGTGATACTGTTTCTGCAGTGCAGTTCATTCTGATGACAGGTTGGGGTCCATGGGATCCTTTTACCTTCCTATCACCCCTACATTACCAACGCGTTCCTACATGTGGAAGTGGAAATCAGAAAGATCAGAAAACATAAAGTAAACATAAACAATAACAAACCTCCATGCGTGTGTGTATATATATATATACAAATATATCATCTCCATACAGTTGTTTTGAACCAGTGAGCGCCTTTTGGCCTGGTGGCCATCGTGGCCATCTATGGCCATCTGGTGACCTGGTCAGGAGATGGAGCCCCTGTGAACAAAAAGAAGGCCTTTCAGTACTACCTGGCTGCTGCTCGCGCCGGGGTGTCTCGTGCCATGAACAACCTCGGCTACATGCTGAGGGTGGGTGATGGTGTTGAGGAGAACAAGGAGGAGGCCTTGGAATGGTATTTGAAAGGTGCAAGAGCTGGGGATATGGATGCGCAGTATCACCTGGGAGAGCCCCGGCCTTTTGTGACACTTCGAAGTTTCACTTGGGAGTGCAGTTCCGCTAAATAAGTGGGTATTTAGTCGGCCTTACAATTGTGGGGGTTATATCCCAACTTATGGGATTCTAACTTGACTTAATCCGTTCAGCTGCACCCCTAAGATCCCCGAAGTACCGTGTGGCTTTGAAGTCAAACTGCACGCCTTGGTCATGTGTTGTTTCGCTTGGTGACCGTGTAACTCCACCCTCCGAATCAGGAGATGTACCACGAAGGCGAGGGAACCAAGATCAGCAAGCGACGTGCAGGCAGGTGGTTCCTGAAGGCTGCCGAGCAGGGCCGTAGAGAAGCCCAGTACAACGTTGCGATGATGTACCACTTCGGCATCCCGATTGCGGAAAAGGGGGAATATGGGAAATGAATGGAGGATATCCGAGGTACGGCGCGAAAAAAAACATGGCTTCTCTATTTAGTTCGATGTACATATGTTTGCAGAAGCTATATGCACATATCATGATATTCTGTGCATGTTCTGTGTATACCATACACATATTACCCACGCGTGTGCCTGTCTTGGATTGCACTGAGGTAATGGCCTCCCAGCTGATCGGGAGGAAGCATCCAAGTGGTACAAGAAGGCAGCTGAGCAGGGCTTGGACAATGCGCAGTGCCCTGGCAATGGATATAAAGTGTAGCAGCGTAGCAGCGTAGCATGCTGGTATACCTCCCAAATGGCACGTTTATTCGGAAGAATGATGATGCACCAGTGGATTTCGGGGTACCCTCTTTTCGGACAAACGTATACGCGGAAGACTCTCCACCACATGACTTCCAGACTTCTTGCTGTGGAGGAAGTGCCACCAAACGCCTCTTCTGAACCTGCTGGTTATTGACAAGTCTTTTGTGCACAGTTTTCATCATTACCTTACCTACTGTGCTGCTCACGTCGGATTGCTCTGAGAGTCGAGTAAACAACTGACGTCTTCTCAGTTGAAGGTAAAATATACTCATGGGTTGCCAATTTGCTTCTGTCATTTCATGTCATTTCATGATGGTAAAGCCCCTTCTAGATTGGAAGCCTTGCCCAACATCACCAAGAGAGAAATCAACAGGAAACGCCTAGCTTTTGTTCTTTTCATCAGTGATTGGTATTGATTTCTTACAAGCACTTTTGGATCAGACACTCGTACATCCTGTTCCTGATGCACCCACACAGATCACACATGCTAACAGGGGCCTGGGAGTAGTGGAGTGTCATGCTGCTGAGCCAGGTATGCTTTGGGTGTCATGTTTGAGCGCGGCGAAGGCATAGAGGCTGGCTCTTTCGACCTGTGCTCTTTGTGTCCAGGCATGTGATACGTGATCTAGGCTGCGCAATGAAGTACTAATTACTAACCCAAAAAACGTCATACAAGGACAAGGCCACTTACCTGGTCGTTACACGTCGTCGAATCTGGTCGTTAATGGTAAGAATTTGTTACCTCACGCGTCTCACGTGTTTCGCGGTCTCAGCACCTGACAGATTTGACAGAGGAACAGACTGGGCCATGGGCCCTCTAAACAAAATGACGAAATGATACAGAAAACATCAGAAAACTATCTGTCAATACCCTGCACTTTGGAGGTGGACATGGAGGAGTCTTTCAAATGGTACAAAATGGCAGCAGACAGAGGGCATGTGATGGCGCAAAACAACCTTGGAGCCTTGTATTATTTGGGGCAAGGTGTGCCTTGGATGATGTAACGATCCAAATGATTAGAGTTGAGTCACACTTTAATGTTTTTTTTTTTCCCGCAGATTTCAGCAGCTATGTGTTTTTTTGTCCTCCTCAACCTTGCCATATGCCACAAGGTGAAGGAAGACAAGGCCGCCGCAGCTAGCTGGTTTGAAAAAGCCGCTCGAGAGGGGCATGCACAAGCAATGAAGAACTTGGGCAAGATGTATGCTGCTGGTGATGGTGTTCCAGAAGATCCAGAGAAATCCGACTATTGGTTCAAGAAAGCTGGCATGGGTGAGCTCTATGTCAAGGGCAAGCGTGCCAGGAATTTTTAAATCACCAGTTTCTGAATGCTGTAGCGAAGCTCTGCTTGAAAAAGATTGCTGTACACGTCAGGATGACAGATCTCACGTCTCTTTTGCTGATTCTACCTAGTGAGGTGCAGAAATCATCTGATCACTGATTCGCAAGTCCCCATTTTCTACACAGGTCTTCCGTATTCCATCGAATTCCTATAGTGCGAAGACACAGTGCTCTAGAGATTGAGGATACACGCATCACACTATATCACACTTTACTCCATGTGACAGTTGCCCCTCGTACGCCAGGCGTCCAACTTCCACCGCTCCGCGGCGCCACTGCGTTGGAAGCTAAGATGCTGCACAATTCTGCCGTTGGATTTGTTGGATGGTTGCTGTTGCCACGGTTGCACCAGTCTGCACCATGGCACTGAGCAGGTACACGCTGCGCATCCGCGCCCGAAACGAAGCAGGGCTTTCGGAAGCGGCAGAAGTTACGGTGAGGACAGGTCCCACAGTCCCAGGCGGTGGGATTGTACTCGCGGGAAGACATTTGGCCGCCTCTCCCAGTATTTCGTGATCGATTTCGATTCTGATTTGATGATATAGTTGTTGCTGTATGGGTCAAAATCATCAACCCCCAAAAATGGATTGGACAAAAAATGCTAATTACACTTGACAACTTAGGCGTTGATTCTATGACCTAAATCAATCATCAATCATCAAACATCATCAAACATCTAAATCGTCTAAATCTAAACCTGACAAGGTGCTCCAGAGCCTCCGCGGGTCTCCCGGCGCCCGGGCCAGCTGAAGTTGCGCTGGGACTTACCAGAGGAGCTGAATCCCATACAATGTGCTGTGGAATCTGTGAATCACAGTGAAGGAGTGGGTCAACAATCATCAATATTTCCGAATGGACTGAACACCATTGACTTTTAAGACTCTTTTAAGAACATTTAAGACCCATGGATGATTCGGGATGGTTTAGCTTGTCCTCTCCATTGAATTTCCGAGATTTCCCATCCTTCGCCCACATGGCTCAGCCATGTGCGACGCCTCCAAAGCTCCACCGATGCCACGCGCCATGGCACGTGCCTCTCTCCTGTCGAAGATGTTGCTTGCAGCCGGCCTTGTGATGGCGCTTAGGCCATTATTTTTGTAGGTCCCTCAACTTCATCCACATTGAGATCCTATTCCCATAATTTTCATAGGAATAAACTTCTCAACTACAGCTATCGTTCGGTGGATGTATTTGGGGAATGCTGTGCTCAAAATCCAATGTGGCAGATGGAATGCTAAAACCCAACTGGGTGTGGATTATTACAACCCCAATTCCAAGACTGGGCATGTCGGGTTTACCACATCATTGATGCTTCCATTCCTATTCACTGTTGTACACGCAAAATTCTCGTTCAATAATGATGGCTAATTACCCCCAACATGGCCGTCTTGCTGTAAAGATTGGGAACATGATGATCAACCACTGGATTCGGGCGTTTTTTCTGGCCTGCCAAAAATAGAGGCCCAAGCTGCTAAGCTCTGATCCAAAAACATGCCCAAAAAATGCGTTGCCACCGGTTTGTCTCATTTTAAACTTGCTTCCTGGTCTCTAGGACAGGATGACCTGATGGCGATGGGCAGAGAGAGAGAGAGGGAGACCATACAGAATTGGTAGGATTTAGAGGGATTATATAGTACTATATAATATATATAATTTACATGATAATATTATATTAATAATATTATATAATATATATAAATTTTTGGGGAGGTTGCCATGACGATGCAGGTTGCTGTCTGGCACGACCTTCGTGACGCCCCGGCAACGCAACGAAGCCGCCGCAGCGCTCGCGGCCGCCATGGTGGCGGCATCTTCGGCGCCAGCCATGGCGGAGGTGCCGTGACCATGGGATGATGCCATGAGGGGTGGAAAGTGAGATGTTGCAAGAAATATATGGACAAAATATATGGAAAGATGATGAAAGATTAGTTTTTTGATGTTTTGGGGTTGATGTTGGTTGATCTTAAAGCCAACTGTCAACTACAAGAGTCAAGGAAGTGGTCAATGACACCCGGCCCTCATATTTTTTTTCGGTCTGGAAAGGTTGAAAGGGTTGAACGGGGCTTTGCAGGTTCCCACCTTCTCATTCTTCGGTTTCGGCAGCGGCCAATCCGATGCTTGGATAAGCTTGAATGGTCTGTCATGATACCTGCTCAGCATGCGCCAGTGTATTACTTTGACTTGAAAGAATTTGAAGAGTGCATGGCACCACTTCAGTGCATCGTGAGGATGCCTACTCCCAGAACGACAACCCCATCAACCCCTACTCTCAGTTCAGCGAGCCCGGTGCAGACACTGTGTACAAGGCGCGCAACCAGGATGAGGTCGACCGCAAGAAGAAGGCCCTCACAGCAGCCCTGGACCGCTTTGAGAAGACCCCAGAGTACATCTCCACCAAGCAGGCCCAGAACCTGAAGGCAGGAGATGGCATCAGCTGGAGTGCTTCAATCATCTTCAGTAATCCTCAATAGTGTTTCTTGCTCTTCTTGTTTTCAGGGCTCCACAGCACAATTCACGGCATTATCATGCATTATCTTGTTTGCGACGAGACTGCAAGGATTGAAATGGCATTTGCATGGGGGCAATTTGTATTGAAACGAATCTGTGTTATCTGCCATTTTGCACCGCTGGTCTTTGTTTAGAATGACTTCAGGGTCGATGCTTAGGCCTTTGCAATTTGGCAGGCAAACCTGTTGGAGGCTGGTGGCTCCTTGAAGGAGGACATGTTTTACTTCTCTGGTGAGGAAAGCTCCAAGACGTATGCGAAGGCACGTCAGTTCGCTCAGAAGGTTGGAACTCTGGGTGTGGATGGCCAGAACAAGCAGTGGGCAAGAGCTGCAGAGGATTTTGCTGCAGCCTCAGAGCTTCTCAAGGAATGGAAGGGGCTGGCCAACTTCTGAGAGCGGTGAGTGCGGATGCGGTGAGAGCCCGAGACCCGAGACATGGCATTTTTTGTTCGCACCAGCAGAGGATAGCACAGGTTTCAGCGCGCGCTGACAACACTTGTAGCGAGACCTCCGGTGCAAGAAAAAATGACAGGTGACCGCTGTGCAGTCGGCTTCGCAGCAATGGTTTGTGACTGACCTGTACCTTCAGCATTTGTCGTATCATTTCTGATGAAAGAGTCATAATGAGCAGATTTGAATCATTCGATGTGCGCAGGATGGGGGCAGTCCAGTGGTAGAATACGAGGCGAGGATTTTTCAAGCCTGTGGGCATGGATCAAAGTTCATTGAACCCCCAATGTTAAATGTGGATTGTTCAATGCAAGGCATGTCTTCATTGGTGTCCGAATGTGGGTTTCCACGACACGACCGCAATGGTATAACAGAAGGTGCTACATCAACCCTCTTGATACTTTGGGCTCTGGTGCAAGGTTCGGGTGGCTTTAAGTGGAGACTTGACCATCTTGGCGCAGCTGTGTGTCGAGGGCCGCGAGGTGAAGTTAGCAGGCCGGGCTGTGGCCGTGCAACCTTAGCTGCCTCGGATTGCCTAGGCCAATCATCCTTTTCCCATTTTTCTTGTCCAACTAAGTCACCAGAACACCCCAAAAAACAAAAAACTCATAGCCACCAGCTGCCAGCTGCCAGCTGCCAGCTGGGCCCTAGGCCTGGAGCCTGGCTGCAGCTACAGCGCCCAGCTCCGCGCCCGCAATTGCCGCGGCTGGAGCGTCTGGTCGCGCTGGAGTGCGCCACGCTCTCCCACGGCTGTGCCGGGCAGACCCGTGGCTCCCAGCAGCTTGGTGGAAAGGGTGGCCGGGTTCGATGTAGTTGGTTGGCTTCTAAGATCTTCTAAGTAGGTGCTGGCGATTCTGCGATTCGGGATTTTTGAGGGCTGTGGTTGGATGTGGTTGGAGGCTGTTGGATTGCACGATGTCTCCGTAAAGTTCCTGAGTTGTAGAATGTTGTTTTCATTGTGCACATTGGAATTCATTGGTTTGGGCATCGAAGAGAAGCAGCTCAGGGCCGCTGTTGCAACGGACTGCGCGGTCACTTTTGGTGGAGTGGGATCCTCCGGACAGCGACGCTTGACAGCACGTTTTAAACCAAGGCTGGGTGAGGCTGGTGCATCACAGAAACTCTCTGTTTTCTCGACCTTCGATGGTTTAGCCACAATGCATGCAAAATGATATGATGTAAATTGATATAACATGATATGAAATGATACCTTCACATTGCAGTACTAAAATGTTGCCTCATTCTTCTGAATCATCATGCATCATCAATCACGGTTTGTTGTCAGGACACGCCCCTGCTGGAGTACGAAGTGTGGTGCGGGAAGGAGGAATCCTTCTGCCACGGCCTTGCCCCGGCTGATGGACGGCGCACCCGGACCTCCCGCACCGTGGCAAAAATCAGCGGCCTCGCGCCTGGCAGCGAATACATCTTCCGGGTTCGTGCCTTGAACCTGTCTGGGTGGTCGCCTTGGTCAGCGCCGTCGGAGGTCGCCTGCACTGCAGACACCATGGAAGCACAGAGCAGTGAAATCATGTCGGCTGTGTACCGACGTTTTGGTGGTGTTGGAGCTGCCTTTCGTGCATTTGATCGAGATCGAGATGGATTTGTCAGCAGAAACGAATTCATGTTGGGCTTGTCCAAATATCGCAGCTCAATGGAGCAGCGTGCACGACTCTTTGATATGGCCAGTCATGAAGGAGGCCCAGCTGGCCTGAGCTATGGGGATTTTGCCAGCCTTTTCTGCCGGCCGACGCCCACCAACACCTCCAAGCCATCACATCCTGAAGCAAGCCGCTCCGCCCGGGGCCTGAAAGAGGCGAGAAGGCCCTCGAGGGGAAGACACCTCAGAAAAACGAGTCCACGAACGTCATGCCTCAGGGAAAGGGCTTTGCAACAGAGCTCAGAGACATTGGTCCCATTGGGGTGTGGGAACAAATCAGCATCTTGCGATTCTTCGCGGGCCAGCAGCCCTGCAAGTGAGTGCAAGCGGGATTTTCAATCAGTATCCGATACGGAGATTGAATTGAAAGACGGCAATTGTGACTCTGCCCGTCGACATGTAGATTGCCGGCGCATCACATCAAAGAGGCTGTTTCTTCACCGCACTTAGTCATAAATGTTGAGCCGTTGAGCTATTTCGTGAGTGAGCCTAGCGATGTGCTGCATTGCTGTGAGTCGATGTTCATTGGTCGACAGGATTTTGTGATATTTTGTGAAGGAATCTTGATGCGAATCAAGGCCTATTGCAGATCGACGAGTACGAGCCTTGTCGCTGTACTGACATGGAGCAGCCATTTTTCGAAGGCCCAAAGTGCCAGTTTTTATGGGATTTTTAGGGTGATAAACACCTCCATGAGCGCCAGAAAAACCATGGGGCCATGGGGATGACCGGGTGGGACATTCTGGGACTGGGGTGGATAATTGGTGGAGATGACAGTAGTGGCAGAGACTGGAGGTGTTGATGCCACAAAGTTTTAGTCGGCTAAGCACGACGCACTTGCGGTTTCTCAGGGCCATGGAGCACGCACATCAGAACCATCTGGAATGTCCTCGCCTGGAATGTTGGTGAATAATGCCCAAGCAAGGGCCGTAACTGTAGTAGTGTCGGCTTGAATGAAGTAATTCGATACTCCACAGGGCAACGTCATGCAACGTCCATGAGCCTCAAGACGCCAAATTCAGTGCTTTGCTGCGGGCGCACCGTTGCAAACAAGTCAATGATGTCGCATGGCAAAGGCAGCTGCAAGCTGGCGTCCTGCTGCAGAGGCAGCTACGACTTTGCCTAGTTTAGTAAGTCAAACATAGTTAATTCCTAGCTAAGGTCCAACACTTGGACTTTTGATCCGTGATTCAGGGGAAGCCGAAAACGTCCGGAAACTCTGGACAGCTGGGCTGGGGAGGCTTGGGGGTGTTGGAGTGGGACGAGTGGCCCCTTGGGCCCTTGGGACGCTCTGGGGCCGTACCATCACCGGCGAGGCGAACATTGAGCAGTGCTGAGTGAGAGCTGAGTGCTTTGTCCGAGTGCCCAGATCCCAGATCTTAAGGTCAAAATCACTGTGGCAGCCAGTTCCCCTAGAATCTCTGCAAACACGTGGGCACATGACAATGTATGTTCGGAAAGAAGACTTGCACAATTGTATCATATGGAGTCACACTCGTAAAGCCTATAGGGCCTATAGCATGTGACCTCAATGGATCGCACTTGGCAATTTTATGCAATTTTGGTGTTTTGCAAAAAACTGGATGTGCTTGAAAGTGATGAACGCCAAGCTGAACCGTGGCTTTTGGCCCAAATTGGATGAGTCTGGGGCCTTCAAAGTCCGCAGAACTGTTCATCCAAAGATGGCGTGTTTTGGCTGCACGCGGTGGGCAACGATAGACTGCTGGGATGACACCTGAAGTTAGTACAGTAGGTGGTTTGGAGACGATGAGCAAATGGGTATGACCGGGGCATCGGGGGCATGACGGTTGACATGCTATGACCCACCTACTGTATAACATAACATGTTATTATATGGCAAAAAATGCAGAACAAGAGGATCGGATCAAACTTGCACAAAAGACATTGGAGGACCTTGATATTCCAGTGACATGGTGATACTGTACATGTTGATAGATGTTGATACATTGAAAAACATGTTGATAAATTTTAACATATTCCAACCATCCTAACCTGACCATCTGGGACCATCTGGGATCCTAAATGACAAGCTTTTCCTCCGGCGAAGCGGCCCGGCATCCAGCAGGTACGCTGGGCCATCGGGCCATCCCACGGGCGCCCGTCTCTTCCGTCACAAACTCACGCCCCAGGAGGAGGTTCGGGAAACGGCACAGGGGTGAGTCATGGGTCATGGGTCGATTTTATGGCTGAGTTGTCCAGTTGGCTAATGTTGGCCATAGCATGCCATAGCTATCCCTCCGTGTCTTTTTTCCCGTCTTAATAAGAATGTGTGATATGATAATGTTATACCAGGTGTATAATACTATTCTGTATGTGTGTGTGATATTCTATAGTATATTCGGATCCTGTATACGGTCTATACCCTTATAACTTATATCTCTTTGTGCGCACCCACGCACACACACACACACACACCGTCTGTATAGCCACGCACACACACACAGACATCTCTATCTCTCTATTTCTCTATTTCTCTATCTCTTTATTTCTCTATCTCTCTATCCCATCTGATCTGATCTAAATCTAAATCTTAATCTAAATCTAAAAAACTAAATCTAAATCTGAATCTGATTCCGAATCTAAATCTAAATCCAAATCTAACTTTAAATCCAAATCCAAATCTAAAAAACTAAATCTAGTCTAGTCTAGTCTAGTCTAGTCTAGTCTAATCCATCTATCTATCTATCTATCTATCTTTCTTTCTTTCTTTCTTATCTTTCTTATCTATCTTATCAATCTTATCAATCTTATCAATCTCATCTATCTAATCTATCTAATCTATCTAATCTATCTAATCTATCTAATCTATCTAATCTATCTAATCTATCTAATCTATCTAATCTATCTAATCTATCTAATCTATCTAATCTATCTAATCTATCTAATCTATCTAATCTATCTAATCTATCTAATCTATCTAATCTATCTAATCTATCTAATCTATCTAATCTATCTAATCTATCTAATCTATCTAATCTATCTAATCTATCTAATCTATCTAATCTATCTAATCTATCTAATCTATCTATCTATCTATCTATCTATCTATCTAGCTATATATATATATTTATATATATTCTAATCTAATTCAATCTAAATCTAAATCCAAATCTAAATCTAATCCATCTATCTATCATTGTTTATATATGGGAGAGATAGTTGAAGATGCTGTAGAGAATCTACCACAGCACACATAGCGGCCGCTCGCACGCAGCGGCCGAAGAGGGACAAATGCCGAATCGAAACTTTCCTTAGTGGTTCCTTAGATAACCAGGAGCCATGACAGCCGCAAAGTGCGGCATTTGAAGTGGCCAAAAGCCGAGGGTGGCAAAAAGAAGCCGAGGCTATATCGTATACAATCATATACAATTATATATACTATAAATTAAATATGTACTTACATAATGTAATGGAACAACTATTTGCACACATGTGTAACATGCGTGCATGGAGCCAAAATCGAAGTGGAACTTTTGGGCCTAGGAGATCATCAAGGTGTCCTTCGAGTCCTTTAGCGAGGCGGGGAATCATCTAAAATGCCACTGTAACGAGGAGGGGTTGCAGAGTTGAAGGTCTAGCAGCACCAGCAGCTGCGCTTGACATTTTCTTCTGTTCGACTTGGACACGTTGTGCCATGACAAAGAAAGCCTATGAAATCCAGGAACGTGCTGTCCAACTCATCCGTGCAGCCTGAGGAGTCTTTGGATGCAAAGGGTGAGCCGATCAAAGATTCCAGGGGCGAGGTTATTCGTGTGATCACCATTGAGCCCTTGATGCATTGAGAAAGTTTCGGGGAGGCTTCCGGTGCTAGAAGTCCTTGAAACATCTTGAAACGCAACCGGAGAGAGAAGCAATTCTGGCGCGGATGTGGATCAAGACCTTTGCAAATGGATGTTCATTCGCAAAGATGTTCCCATAGAAATTGACACATCTCCATTATCATCATGATCCCCATGTGGCCAAGGACTCCTTAAAACAAGCGTTCAATCAGATTGGCGCTTCTGGTGACATTCACGACGTCCAGCTGATGGTGCGTGATCCGATTATCCGACTTGTCTGGGAGCATTCAGGAAGAGTTGAGACAGACACAGCGGCACAGTGAGTCACTTTAGGTATCTTTACGTTGGAATAATGCACTTATAGACTTATAGATACTCCATCCTCAATCCCTTGGTAACACACCCCTATCTTTTTAGATAACTGGCCTCGCATCGTGCCTCTCCACACGTGTCTCATTCTAAACCCAAGCCCCCGTGGTTTCCACTGCCAGATAGACGATATCGACGCCAACAACGACGGAAGGCCATGTGGGTCGACAGGATGTCTTATTTCGATCTATTTCACAATCAGTTCTGGGAGTGTGTGCAAATTCTCTGCGTGAATTTCATTGAATTTCCTGCCTCACACAGCCACAGCCATACCTAGTAAATAATTGTGCTTCAAGAGACTTTTGTAGACAAGCTGGACTTTTCACCAAGAGCTGGTGTGATTTCTGAGTGTTGCAGGATTGACTTTGATGAGTGGAAAGGCATCATGACACGTTCCTTGGACAGTTGAGCCGAATGCGCATGCAAAGTGCAGTCCGATTGAGTCGAATCGTTGCTGAGGTAAGCTGCTGGGTGAGGACAGCATGGGCTCAGCCCCACACACGTTCCAAGTTGGGAGCCTCATTTCAGTCATCTCCAGTCGCTCCAGAGCCAAGATGGTTCAAATGTCAAGTCCTGGCCGGTTTATTATTACTTTTTGCTTTGTTCTTTCATACCTGTTGCCTAGGTGTTGGATGACAACAAGGAGCCGGTGCTTCAAAAGATGTCACCTTCATGGCAACGCCAGCACATGGCAGGACGACTACATTCCTGCGGTGGAGTTGCGCTCCATCCTGATGAAGGAGGCTGTGACATCCCAGCAGTGACCCCCGGCCCCCCTATCCTGCGATTCCGATCTGCCCAGGGATTGGCGCCTCTCAGTGAGCAGGAGGTGGATGAGCTGCTTCTTTTTGCTGACCCGGATGCTTGGTGACACCACGTTTTTTTTTTCTTTCTCTTTTTTGGGTGAGGGCTTGTCGTTGGCTTTGGGGTGAGGGATGGCCCGGTAGAAGCGGTGAGGGGTCTAGGGCCTGCCCACTGAGGATCAGGATGGCCTTGTGAACTACAAAGAGTTCCTGAGGCCAGTTGAAGATTCCCAACTTTGGGACACTCCCAACCGACATTGGCCGCCTTAACCCCTTCATGGAGCCATGGATGAACTAACTAATCTAGATATTATGTATACATTTCCTTTATTTGTGCTTCGTCCCGCAGTGAACCAACTATCGACTTCCACCTTTTATAACCCCTCTGGGCAACCCGCAGGTGGCTCAGTAATCCATACTGGACTCATCAATACAAAGATTAGACGTGGAGCCTGGCGACCCAGCTGTTTTCCAACACGACTTGGTGAATTGCGCCGTGCTTCAGCAAATCTGAGGTGCCAAGATCAACCTGTCCTTGAGTCCCTTGAGTCCTTGGTTGATTGGTTCAACATGCTGTAGCTATGCGGTACCCCACGTGCAACCATGCAACCAGAACCGGTGATTCTGCCCATTCTGCCCAGAACCTGTTGCTCCCAAGGTGTCCCTCGGAGATGTCGCTCCATTGCTTGCGACCCTGGGACAACTGGGTGCTGTCGGATTTAACTGGGGATGAAGGGTCTCAATGGGGCCCTGATGTCATTTTATGTTCCTGTTTGTTTCGGTGTTGGGGGTGAGTATGACCTGGTGGTAAAACAGTTCGGTTAGCCGTTAGCCATGGTTAAACTATGCTTGAGCAACATTCAACATAGAATAGATAGATAGATATAGATATAGATATAATATAGATATAGACATAGATATAGATATTGATATAGATATAATATAGATATAGATATAGATATAGATAGAGATAGGTAGATAGATAGATAGATAGATAGATAGATAGATAGATAGATAGATAGATAGATAGATATATTATATAACAAAGAAAATCAGCACGGTAAACTGAGCTCAACCGGAGCGCTTGCCACCACGCTCAGGATGTCGAGCCCGTGGGGTGCTCTGAGGAAATCGGCCAAGACCGTCTTGGGATCAATTTGAAAATCAGTGTGCACATGGGCAACCACACACAGATAGATAGATAGATAGATAGATAGATAGATAGATAGATAGATAGATATATTTCACACACACGCACAAAAAACTGCATATAATTAAAACAATAGGGATTTTCCATGATGGAGTTTAGCATGATTCTGCTTCACTATCTCTCGGCAACATCTATCAGAATACATAATGAAGGACACTTCTGGAGTCGAGCCCGTGAAGCTTGCAAGTTCAGGAGATGACCATATCGCGAATCCCAAGCTGTCCTCACTTTTTGCAAAAAAGTTGGTGCTGAATTCGCGAAAGGCGGACGTCGCCAAACAGCTGTACAAACCAACAGCGCGCGGTGGCTCGATCGCAGGATATCTTAGTTTACGGTTGATTCAAATCTTGGTCAATTTTATCATTTGAACCATCCACTTGTTGGGTGCCCAATTTTCTGAACCGGCATCAAAAATGAACTCTGTCATTGTAGGGCCTAGTGCCCAAAATTGATCAGTGACCGTCATTGACCTCCCTCACTGTCCCGCGACATGCGAGTTTCACTTTTGCATCACTGTACCAGCACCGGACCTGGGCTTCCTTGGCTTCACAAGCTGGGTATCCTAGGCATGTTTCACAGCGCAGGTACCGCCTGCAATGGATTGGCACCTGTTACCTGCTGAAATCTTGGAAAAAGGATTAGCGTGATTAGTGATTGACTTCTGAAAATGGTCAGCCGTTCCTGAACCTCCAGGCTTTTGAGTAATGTTCACTCATTAGTTCCAAAGCTGGTATTTTTTGCCATTGTCAGTTGTTACAGTAAGTTGCTGTGCATTTTCGACACTGGCTGGCCCCATGCAGCTTCGCAGCACATGGTGAGAGACTGGCATGGTATGGCAGAGCCGTCCCACTGGAAAGGAAACAAGTTCCAAAAAAAAGACTCCGCAGATGGAAATGAATGGCACAGTATTCTGACGTGGATCTAACCAGCAATTTTCCAAAGGGCATGGGGATGCATTGGGCATGAGGCACAGAGGCCGGACATTGCCATGTTAATATCTTGCTCATTGCTTCAAGAACATGGCATCAGCATCATCACTGGTGCACCTTCCTCAGTAGATGCTGCATGCAGCGCCGCAGCAAAGGGGCCTTCTCTGCTCTTGTGGAGGTCCCATCCGAATCCATCTGAGTGGTTCAGGTCTTCTTCCACGAACTGCCCTGTTTAGTGTCACAGTTGATGCTACAGCTATTGCTGCTATTCCAATGCCAGGCGGACATTCCAGACATGCCGTCACTGTCTTCTTCTCCATGACTCGTTCTAAATCTGTCATCAATTTTGTCTTCTCGCTATCCGACAGCCACCAGTCCCGAGCTAATCATGTTCATAATCACAAGTTCCATCCTAGATTCTTAGAATTCTTCGAACATTATTTAGCATTCTAATTTTTTGTTACAAAAAATACGGCCACTCTCCAAATCCCTCAGCACATGGAGGTGGAGCAGGAGGCCAGAGATGAGTTACTGGCGCTCCGCGGCATCACTGCGGGGAAGGCAGCTGCATGGTGTTGCGGTTCTGGTCATAAGATTATGGTCACATATATATATATATATATGTATGTATGTATGTATTCTACAGATATAATCCCCGTCATACGGTATATTCCTATGATATATTCATATGTATTCTGTATATATATATATATACTGACCAATTAACCATATACACAGTTATATACATACATCATATATATATATATATGTCCATTAGTCTCTCTCTCTCTATGTCTACACATGCCAGTTGTATAGCATCATAGGGTCACGGGATGATGGTTCCAGTTCACTGTTTCGGCGCAGGAGGAGTTGAACTCCCGCAAGGACTGCAAGGGGCGACTGGAAGAGACGGGGGTCAAAAGCCATGATGTGTGGAGACCGGGGTGAAAAACCCATGATATATATTAATATATATATATATGCATACAGAAAGAGGAAGAGGAAGAGGAAGAGGGAGAGGAAGAGGAAGAGGAAGAGGAAGAGGGAGAGGGAGAGGGAGAGGGAGAGGGAGAGGGAGAGGGAGAGGGAGAGGGAGAGGGACAGGGAGAGGGAGAGGCAGAGGCAGAGGCAGAGGCAGAGGCAGAGGCAGAGGCAGAGGCAGAGGAAGAGGAAGAGGAAGAGGAAGAGGAAGAGGAAGAGGCAGAGGAAGAGGAAGAAAGAGAGATATATAATTATATATATATATATATATACATTAGTCAACAATACATACACGGATATGCATATATTTCCTTTGATTCAATGTGTATAAAAGTCTATCATCTTAATAGTAAGTATATATATATATGAATTCCCAGCTGTACCATGCAGCGATATTTTGGTGCCACGCATGCCAGGGCGATTTGACCCTCCCATTTCAGGATCTTCTCGATGAAGCTGGTTTCATTGTGGATGAGTATGCTCCTCAGGTTTGTGGACGCAGTGGTAGCTGCCAGCTGCACTTCGAACTCAGGAAGAACTCTTTGGTCTACGTGTCGGCAGCAGAAGAAAATCGACAAGATGGCATTGAACATACAGTGGTCTACAAGATGCTCGTTTGAACGTTGGCACTGACAAGAGTTGCTGTGGCTTTGGGCAGAACCTGGGTGAACGCGGGGGTGATCCTTCACTTTCGTATATGGTTGAAAATTACCGGTGGCAAGTGGTTTTTGCCCATTGCTATGCATATTATGCATTATGCTGCCCATTTACTTCCAAAATGGTGTTGATTTCCGATGATTTCCGACTTTTGGGACTCATCTCAATCAGCACCCGACATGTGAGGAAAGTGGCAGTCCGCAAGGGTCCAAGCATTGACTGTCATGTGCTGGGTGCCTATGAGCAAGGGCAGCAGTTGATGCTCTTTGCCACTGGTCCACAGATGTAAGGGATTGAAAGGGAGGAGGATCCACAAACTGGGCATGTTTTGATTGTTCTGATTGGTGATTCATATGGGTTACTTAGATGGAGTATGCATTATGTAGACATGTTAGGATTTTGGGATGTGATTTGGTGGCACGGTGCAGTGCCTCTGATCAGAAGATATCACAATCGGAAGAGTCTGGGCCGGTGAATCCGAATGCTGTTCTCTACCCAATGGCCACTGACTGATCCTGAGCGTGGTACACAGCTCGAATTGTGAACTGTGGCCGTCGGCTCGACCAATCCTCGGTTTGAATCTAGGAGTGACCTATGCTGTCGATAGAAGACATGGTCCCAATTTGATCAACCCTCAGTGGCCCACGATTGTGGCTATAAAATGCTATAAAAATCAGATGTGGCTACCACTATGGGTGGTTTGCTACCATATGACCAGCCCAGAAAACAGCAGTTGCTACAAAAGCCATGAAGTATCGATATCCAGAATTATGACTGGTACTGAACACTCCAATCATTCCCTATATCTCCCTATCATATCGATGGGTCCCCGGGTCCCGGATTTGGCACCTGTGCTATGAACCGTCGGCTTCCCCAGGATAGCGATGACACCGGAAGCTGGCGCAAACTCCACTTCCGACTCCGTGGTGGGCACGGTGGGTTGGTGGAGGCCGGGACATCGCGCAGTGACGCAGTGGCGCAGTGCAGATGAATTCAGAGAGGATCTTCCAGCAAGGCTTGGGTCATGCTCCGGCACCCTCAACTGGGAGTGCTCGTGTCTCGGGATGGTGAGGACTGCAGTGCCATATTCAGATGATTGATGCAGTGACAAATTGTGTGCTTTTTTTCTCCTCCCCAGGTGAAACAATGAAATTGAGCAAAACTTCTGCATGTTTCTTGGATGTGTCATATTTGTTTGTAGCGTAGTCATGCGTAGTCCATTTTGGAGATGCTGGCGGTGCGTTTGTCGGGCTCAAGCAGACGTGCCTGTTCCAATTTGACACGACATCCCGGGCGTGCTGGGTGGTATGGATTGTTGCATACCAGTCATCACCACATGCAGTGGTGTTGAGATAGGGCCAAAAAAGATGCCTGGCCACAGTGATAAGGAAGATGTTGCAATCAACATCTCCCTCAACATCGGCATACCGGTCAAAGAACTCTTGGCAGCTCTTTCCAGTTTCCAGCTGCCATTCTCCCCAGCTCCGGGTGATGTACCAAACTGCTCCTTTTCAGTTACCAAACCGCGCCTAGGCGACAAACTGCCAGGGCACACCGAAAGTCTTTGTAGCGGCAGGTGGGAAGTTGTACCAGAGCATGTCGGACCACACGTAGTTCTCGGAGGCGTCGACGCCACAACCAGCACCACCAACACAGCTGCTGCACTGGCGCCTACGCTAGCATCAAGGCAGCTTGGGCTCACCGTGAAGGTCTCCAACATTTCCAGGAGGGTGATGCCTGATGAATTGCAACAAGTCTTTGAACAGCAGGTTGGACCCGTCATTGACATCAATGTAGTCGAGGACACAGCCAGACTCACCTTCCACAGCCAGGAGAGTGCCAAAAAGGCAATCGATGAATATGATGGCGGCATCTTGGAGGTTTCCAAGAATGAGGAGAGTCTCGGCCCAGGCCTCATCCTACATCCCAGGAGTTCCAGTTCCTCGCTCTTGGAGGAGCGCTTGGGACCACTCAACAGGTGTCACCTGAGACGTGGAGGAGGATGGATCACCATTTTCCAGGCAGCCATCATCAAGCAGCTCAAGAAGGAGAGCTGACTAGGAGGGTATCGGTATCACATGGATATGATATACCTTATTAAACTAACCACAGTGGCCATATGATATTAAGAATACATACATCATATACATCAATATACCATTGGGGGGCATTATTTGATTGGACTAGGCAGCGGTACGATGCTGCAGGGATTTGTCCAAACATGGGAAATTCGCACCCCAGTTTATAGCAGTCAAAACGTGAGGAAAACGAGGTCCTGAACTTTCTAAACAATGGCACCCCATTTTCAGACACACCCAAGTGACTTGAATGATAGGTGGATTGCTCACATCCTAGGGTATCAAAGCATCAGAACAGTGGCGCAGGAAGATGGCATGAACCTGGTTGACTACAAGGGAAGCTTTCTTGAAGTGTGCTTCGATGCTCCAAATGACCTTTCACTCAGAGAGAGAGAGAGCTTCGGTAGGCTTTGTGGTTGGTGGGAGTCCTGTTGAGCTCTGACCGCATTGACCGCATCTCCCTCAAATAGTTCTGTTGGCCCAGGGCCCTGAGGGCCCGAGCAAACGGACATCTCTCGTTCCAGAATACTATAATACATCTATATACCCATCCGTTCCTAAAGGTTCCCCTACGTTCCCGCATGACTAGCTGCCTAGCTCTGTCGTGAAAAAAACAAGCTCTGGCATGCTGCGGCAATCTGCTTTGAAGCCCTTGGACTGGAGTCAAGCTGGAAGCCGACAGTGCTGCATCATGTTGTCATTTAGTTTGCTGATGTTCGCCAGGAGCCCCCAGCTGCAGCTCCTGTGGCAGCACCAGCTGCGCCAGTGGTGCCAGCTGCAACAGTGAGGGAGCCACCGAAGGCATCTCTTCACCTACCAGAGGAGGGCTTTGTCTCAGGAATAGGGTACCCCTAAATCCGATGGTTTGGAACCTCATTGTAATCTTCGCCACAAAGATTGCTAGTGTGTGGTATAGACGTGATATATACCCCATGTCTGGACAGATCAATACTGTATATTGAAACTTGAGGCACACAGAACACATAAGAACAAACTATGAAAACCGACAAACCAATCAACACCATCACCATGAGGGACTTTCCTGATGGTGCCAGAGAGCGAGAGAGAGAGAGAGAGAATCAACACGATTTCTAGGCCACAAAAATCATGCGCCAGGAGGGGGATCGTGCAGCCCACTTGGCGGCCTTGGCGGCTGAGTTTGGGGAGCGACTACAGCTTATGGCTGAGGCCCTGTTGAGCTGGGGCCTGGGGCTGCGGAGGTGGTTTGCACAACCATCCCTCCCTGCAGCCTGCAGTGCTCTGCAGCGCAGGACCTGCATCCCAATGTCATGAATCTCAAGGAGACGTTCCAAGTGGTGCGGAAGCCCATGGTGGCCGTGAGGAGTCAGCCCAGCACCGAAGGCCAAATTGCACCGCTGCAGCACTGGTGGGTGGGGGGTTTGGGTCGCCTCAGAGGGTAGGACGCGCTGCTGTTTAGTTCCATTGTAGTCATAGTCTTAGTAGGCCCCGGGGGAAGTGGAAAGCAGCGGCCTTGGGCAATTAGAAATCAGCTGAGGTGTTTTCGGTGGAGTATGGCACAGAAGTGGACACCTTTGGTGTGGATTCATCTGGTCTTTGGCGCAGGGTTTTCTGTCAATGCACTCGTGTAGCCAAACAGGACACAGTTGCCAGTTGTCAGTGGGTCGGGGATCGAAGTGGAAGCAAATGCTAAACTTTGCGCGGCTGGGAGCTTTACAAGGCACATCCGAGGATCATGGGGGTGAGGAGCGAATCAACTAGCCATGAAATGATAGCAGTCACATATCACCACAATTCACGGGACCAATATCACCGCAGATATGACTATTAAATACTATTAACATCTATTAACTATGCCGTTAAAATCTATTCTACCGAATCTATTAGAATCTATTGGAATCTATTACCATCAGGGCATATCAGGACGTAGGCTCACCACCACCATCAACACAGGACGCTCCTTTGCCCCGAGAGCCCGTGGAAGCCTGGATCATGGAGGAGCATCCTTCCCTGGGGCCCTTGCTGAGGCAGGGCATGGGGGTCATCCATAACAGCGATTGAATCGCTGATATATTTTGATGTGACTTCACCACGGCAGAGATCTACGAAATGGATCAACATGGTACAATTTGTGAACAGTATCTGTTGCCTACAGGTTTCGGTGGATTTTGATGATACAGACTGCAGCATCTGGAACTGGAAAGGATGGACCACGGGTCAGCTCCGTTCGCTGAGGCTCCTCCACTGACTCAGGCCCTGGCAAAAAAGCGGCAGCGCGTCGTGCAGCCGAGGGATTTGACATGCAAATTCCGATTTTTTAATTTTATGGTTGGTTATATTTATCATTGTATAACGTGTGCTTATGTATATATATACATACAATGTCAACCCTGGATTGGTAAACCCCTAGGTGCGTATATATATATATTTGTAATGTAAACCCTGGATTAATAAACCCCTAGGCTGTTTAATTGGGAAAGGTGGGGGAATACCCCCTAGTTAATAAGCCATGGTTTATCAATCCGGGGTTGACATTAATATCATACTATATCCCCATTCATACTATTAACCACCCAGTAAACCGCTACAGGATTACACAAAGCTCTGACACCTTTGGCGCCACTGAAACCATCTGAAATTCAATTTTGACGCAGCAAGGGCCGCAGATATCCCGCATGTAGCTGGTTAACGGTTAACGTGTCATGTTACTCATGGCCAGAGCCTCCCTGCAGCCCATTGATATCCCATTGATTCACGAGGTTTGGAACAGATGGGACAGCGTGGCAGAGAGGTGGGGGTCTCGTTGACAGTGCCACTGTCTGCGAGTTGAGAATGACGACATCACGAAACTGCGGTTGACACCCAGATGACCAACGGATCCAACGGCCCTTGTCAAGGCTTTGCATACACTGCACTGTTCGCCGCACTGCTGGCTCAGTAATTGCAGCAGCCAGTCTAATATCTGATTAGATGATATTAGATGTTGGTTTACATGTATAGCTGTGCAATTATATTATTGACTTACACACTCAAACATATATAATCACAATAACAATAATAATAACAATAGTAACAATGATAACAATAATAACCATAATAACAATAATGACAATAATAACAATAATAATAACAATGCTAATGATGATAATAATAATAACAATAATAATAGTAATAGTAATAGTAATAGCAACAGTAAAAGTAATAATCTTAATAATAATAATAATAACAATATATGCGATAGATATGGATGTATATTGTTCAATTAAATTACTGTACCATGATATTCACCATAGATTTTCCAGAGCCATCACCGACTTCGCTCCTGAAGCCTCGCTGAACCTTCCGTGGTAGCCATGGAGGACCTTTTGGACGCTGCCTTGCTAAGTCGCCTTGTGACTTGTCAGGCAACTGGATGCCACATCTTTACATTCATCAATAGGGAACTCTAATGTACTACAGTATAATGGGCCAACATATGGAATCAATGGTGGGATGACCACATGCCATATATCCATATACGTCCCATCCAAGGCCGTAGATCAGCAGCGCGCAGTTGCCAAAGGACCTTTGGCGCAGGGGGAGCCGTTCTTGGCGCTGCCTCTGTCGCGGGAAGCTCAGGGGGTGCCAGGGGGACATTCCCATCCTGCGATGCGCACCGACTGGCACCTATCAGTGTACAACTGGATTGACTACTTCGGTTCAAATCGAAAACGTATTCCACACAAATCCTTGAACGAGGCCCTTTCAACCCCAAGCGCGAAAATTGTTTTATCATGTGTAGCCTGTAGGGGCCCGTCAATGCAGGTTCTAATTCTTGGGCTTGAACTGAGACTGACTTAGAGCAACTGGTGCGAGGAAGTGTTGGACAGCAGACACTGCAAAGGCTTGCAGCAAGCTGTCAAGTTACCTCGATGCCCAGCTGAATTTGTTGCTAGCCCAACTGGAGAGAGTTTTGAAGAGTGATTTTTCGGTTGCGACTGACCCCATTTAAATTTTGAGCATTGAAGAAAGTCCGAGGGCTCAACGATAAGAAACTTAAGCACTGACAGAAGGCATGCTGCAGATTGAGCATGACAGAATGATTGAGATTTCGTTTCAATAGTTTGAAGGCTGGGCAAATGCAAGGATCAGGCAGACTGAGCTGTGTCTGTTGAGGATGCCGATGCGCCAGACTCCACATGGCTCGCCCTGCACCTGTTGTTATTGAAACAGGAGCAGGGCAATGCCTTGCAGAAACAGTTGCAGCTCCTGGACGATTCGGCAGGTGAGGAACATTCATGTCCTATTGAGTCAATCCAACAGGCCTTCAAAATAGTTGTGTGTTTCCGAGCTGTTTGTTGGGACGCACCAGAATCCTGCTAGAAGTTCAATTTGCGCAGAGGCTGCAATGACAAGTGCACCCAAACTGTTGAAAGTTATCTTTGTATTATTGCTTGGATGGCTGGGCTTACAACTGGAGTGCTCGGACCTCTCAGTCTCATAACTGGTCTCAATTTTTTTATGCAGGTCTTCTTCGTTGGGATGACACAGAGCTTGCCCTTTTACAAGGAAGCCCTTGGATGCTGGTGGCAGGGCAAGGCTCAAGTTGATGCATCCAACTTGGCATGGGTTATATGTTATATAATGTTATATAATGTTATATTATGATTATATATGTATAATTATGTATATGTATTTGTAGTTGTATATGTGACTGATATGTATATATATATATATTTATTTGTTGCACCACGCACACAAAATAAAGTACAATTTGCATTCACAGGTGTGTTAAGTTGCTCAGCGCTTCCAGGCCGAGAGGAAATCCAAGCCGAGTATGAGGAGCTCCTGGGCAACCCCGTTGCACTGGTCTCGAATCTCCATTTTTTGCCCGGCGAAATCTGGATTGTTTATTCGTAATATTACGTAATATAAGTATAATCAGCATAATTCTGCATAATCCAACAAAAAGTTTTAGTGATCATATTAGCATATTCCCATCCTGTTTGCATACTACTTACCATCCTATACCCTTACTTCCACACACACACACACACACTTGCGAAGTCATGAAAGACGGTCTCTTTTCATGAATGCAAAGTCTGATTACCTCATGGTAGATTGAAGGCATCACTCGGCCATACCGAGTTAAAAAAGGCCAAGCTTATCCGTTGACATTTGAATGTCAGGTTGTTTAAAAGAGAAACCAATACGGCTCAATCAAAAGTGATCATGAAATGACTGAATGACGGCATGCAGGTTCTTGGGTTAGCCTGATCCCATAAAGTACTAACAGATACGAATATGACCACCAGCTATGACCCCAACATATTGGGTATGTCATCCAGGTGCATCATGCAGGTACGTTTTCACAACCTAAGGTGAGCGTCTTCATTGGCACAAGACTCACCAAAGGTCCTTGTGCCCCCTGCTGTGAATTAAGGTGCAATGGTATCCATAATTTATGGAAGAAAGCAGTTAAAAAAAACTAGTTGGTTGAAATCAGCCGCAAAAAGTGAGGAACTCTTCGGTACAGAGCTTGACACACACAAAAAGGCACGTAGCCGGGCTTGTATTCCTTTAAAGGCGAGAATGGAAGACATCATCAAGAGATTTGTGAAAAAACCCGCAGAGGAACATTTGCAACCTCATCAGCGTGTCAGTAAATATTTTTGCCACAGCCAAAAGGTTAGGTATGCTTGAACTGCCTTCTGTACAGGACGCGTTGGCAGTCTGTTTTGGAGAACCCTTTCTGTACATACAGCTGAATGAGTTGGTTGAGATCATCACGGACAAATTCTTTGGGAAACGTGTATCTGCGAATTAAGGTTGCACGGGACTTTAGTCCGGACAAGCGGAGACGCATGCTGCCAGCAGAATGGAGATGACGAATTTCCCATAGTGGAGGTACTTGGTACCTTGCGGTTCGTTGCACTACGTCAATGGTGAACCCAAGGAGTGTACCATCTTGGACGGTTTCCAACTCCACCGGCGCTTGATAAAAGAAACAATCGGAAAGCACTCGCATGGGCAGTGCGGAGCGAAAACGGTGGTCAAACAAAATGAATCTGTTGTCCACATATCTTGTGAACAGAAGCCTTTCTGTACATATAACCGAGATAGTGCGTGCAACGAACTCTGTGCTTGACAGGACGGAAATGAATATTTACGAATTAAATGAGCTCGACTCTTCAGTCCGCTCAAACGCAATCGGAGGGTTCCGGCTGAAATGATTGTTCTTTCAGAAACATCAGCATAAAAGCCGAGAAGTAAAATTGTCGGCAACCAGCTCCAGTTCGACTGGACTAACATAAAAGTCCAAGTCTGTAAACACTTGGAACACTGGAGCCTGAAGATGGTGCTTCTGTACAATGACAAAACGGCTGTCGACGTACCTGATTGCAAGATGATGAAAATTTGGTTGGGTCAGAACTTCTTGATAGGTACTGCTCCACGATCTCTCGATAAGCGTCACGGCCAAGTTCGAAAGTGTTGGAGAAATCTGACTTCCTATTCCAGCGCCCCTGATTTGGCGCCATACAACACCAAGTGCTGTGAAAAAGTGAGTCCGCTGTACACGTGGGTCGACCCCCTGCCTTAAAACTGAAAAATTGAAAAACAGAAAAACAGAAAAAAACGCAAATCCCTTGGAAACAGGGGTTGACTCTACACACAAAGGCCTATCGCCGCTGGTATTTGTCGGCCACAACGCACTGTGAATATCTGACAAAGCGAAGCCTTTCTGTACATATAACCGAGATAGTGCGTGCAACGAACTCTGTGCTTTACAGGACGGAAATGAATATTTACGAATTAAATGAGCTCGACTCTTCAGTCCGCTCAAACGCAATCGGAGGGTTCCGGCTGAAATGATTGTTCTTTCAGAAACATCAACATAAAAGCCGAGAAGTAAAATTGTCGGCAACCAGCTCCAGTTCGACTGGACTACCATAAAAGTCCAAGTCTGTAAACACTTGGAACACTGGAGCCTGAAGATGGTGCTTCTGTACAATGACAAAACGGCTGTCGACGTACCTGATTGCAAGATGATGAAAATTTGGTTGGGTCAGAACTTCTTGATAGGTACTGCTCCACGGTCTCTCGATAAGCGTCACGGCCAAGTTCGAAAGTGTTGGAGAAATCTGACTTCCTATTCCAGCGCCCCTGATTTGGCGCCATACAACACCAAGTGCTGTGAAAAAGTGAGTCCGCTATACACGTGGGTCGACCCCCTGCCTTAAAACTGAAAAATTGAAAAACTGAAAAACAGAAAATTCGCAAACCCCTTGGAAACAGGGGTTGGCCCTACACACAAAAGCCTATCGCCGCTGGTACTTGTCGGCCACAACGCACTGTGAATATCTGACAAAGCGAAGCCTTTCTGTACATATAACCGAGATAGTGCGTGCAACGAACTCTGTGCTTGACATGACGGAAATGAATATTTACGAATTAAATGAGCTCGACTCTTCAGTCCGCTCAAACGCAATCGGAGGGTTCCGGCTGAAATGATTGTTCTTTCAGAAACATCAACATAAAAGCCGAGAAGTAAAATTGTCGGCAACCAGCTCCAGTTCGACTGGACTACCATAAAAGTCCAAGTCTGTAAACACTTGGAACACTGGAGCCTGAAGATGGTGCTTCTGTACAATGACAAAACGGCTGTCGACGTACCTGATTGCAAGATGATGAAAATTTGGTTGGGTCAGAACTTCTTGATAGGTACTGCTCCACGATCTCTCGATAAGCGTCACGGCCAAGTTCGAAAGTGTCGGACAAATCTGACTTCCTATTCCAGCGCCCCTGATTTGGCGCCATACAACACCAAGTGCTGTGAAAAAGTGAGTCCGCTGTACACGTGGGTCGACCCCCTGCCTTAAAACTGAAAAATTGAAAAACAGAAAAACAGAAAAATTCGCAAATCCCTTGGAAACAGGGGTTGACCCTACACACAAAGGCCTATCGCCGCTGGTATTTGTCGGCCACAACGCACTGTGAATATCTGACAAAACGAAGCCTTTCTGTACATATAACCGAGATAGTGCGTGCAACGAACTCTGTGCTTTACAGGACGGAAATGAATATTTACGAATTAAATGAGCTCGACTCTTCAGTCCGCTCAAACGCAATCGGAGGGTTCCGGCTGAAATGATTGTTCTTTCAGAAACATCAACATAAAAGCCGAGAAGTAAAATTGTCGGCAACCAGCTCCAGTTCGACTGGACTACCATAAAAGTCCAAGTCTGTAAACACTTTGAACACTGGAGCCTGAAGATGGTGCTTCTGTACAATGACAAAACGGCTGTCGACGTACCTGATTGCAAGATGATGAAAATTTGGTTGAGTCAGAACTTCTTGATAGGTACTGCTCCACGGTCTCTCGATAAGCGTCACGGCCAAGTTCGAAAGTGTTGGAGAAATCTGACTTCCTATTCCAGCGCCCCTGATTTGGCGCCATACAACACCAAGTGCTGTGAAAAAGTGAGTCCGCTGTACACGTGGGTCGACCCCCTGCTTTAAAACTGAAAAATTAAAAACAGAAAAACAGAAAAATTCGCAAATCCCTTGGAAACAGGGGTTGACCCTACCCACAAAGGTCTATCGCCGCTGGTATTTGTCGGAAAACCGAGATAGTGCGTGCAACGAACTCTGTGCTTGACAGGACGGAAATGAATATTTACGAATTAAATGAGCTCGACTCTTCAGTCCGCTCAAACGCAATCGGAGGGTTCCGGCTGAAATGATTGTTCTTTCAGAAACATCCACATAAAAGCCGAGAAGTAAAATTGTCGGCAACCAGCTCCATTTCGACTGGACTACCATAAAAGTCCAAGTCTGTAAACACTTTGAACACTGGAGCTTGAAGATGGTGCTTCTGTACAATGACAATAAAGCTGTCGACGTACCTGATTGCAAGATGATGAAAATTTGGTTGAGTCAGAACTTCTTGATAGGTACTGCTCCACGATCTCTCGATAAGCGTCACGGCCAAGTTCGAAAGTGTCGGAGAAATCTGACTTCCTATTGCAGCGCCCCTGATTTGGCGCCATACAACACCAAGTGCTGTGAAAAAGTGAGTCCGCTGTACACGTGGGTCGACCCCCTGCCTTAAAACTGAAAAATTGAAAAACTGAAAAACAGAAAAATCGCAAATCCCTTGGAAACAGGGGTTGACCCTACACACAAAGGCCTATCGCCGCTGGTATTTGTCGGCCACAACGCGCTGTGAATATCTGACAAAGCGAAGCCTTTCTGTACATATAACCGAGATAGTGCGTGCAACGAACTCTGTGCTTGACAGGACGGAAATGAATATTCACGAATTAAATGAGCTCGACTCTTCAGTCCGCTCAAACGCAATCGGAGGGTTCCGGCTGAAATGATTGTTCTTTCAGAAACATCAACATAAAAGCCGAGAAGTAAAATTGTCGGCCACCAGCTCCATTTCGACTGGACTACCATAAAAGTCCAAGTCTGTAAACACTTTGAACACTGGAGCTTGAAGATGGTGCTTCTGTACAATGACAAAAAAGCTGTCGACGTACCTGATTGCAAGATGATGAAAATGTGGTTGAGTCAGAACTTCTTGATAGGTACTGCTCCACGATCTCTCGATAAGCGTCACGGCCAAGTTCGAAAGTGTCGGAGAAATCTGACTTCCTATTGCAGCGCCCCTGATTTGGCGCCATACAACACCAAGTGCTGTGAAAAAGTGAGTCCGCTGTACACGTGGGTCGACCCCCTGCTTTAAAATTGAAAAATTGAAAAACAGAAAAACAGAAAAAATCGCAAATCCCTTGGAAACAGGGGTTGACCCTACCCACAAAAGGTCTATCGCCGCTGGTATTTGTCGGAAAACCGAGATAGTGCGTGCAACGAACTCTGTGCTTGACAGGACGGAAATGAATATTTGCGAATTA